TTTACGCTCTGGGAAGCAAATTTTCACTACAAATATCTCTCTTTTTTGCAGTTGTGCCGGAAGGCTTTGTGACACGCTTCTTACTGTCCCGGAGGATAACTCTCTCTTGATAGCCATTTTCGCGGAGCGTGGTCTGCAACAGTTGCAGGAATGTATATGTGCCCTACTCTCGCCACCAATTCCTGGAGTTAAGTTCGTTTTAGATTCAGGAGAAAAACTTTGAGTATTAATGTATTGCCTTGTCTTGGTTTTCTTTCGGAAGATCCTGCCTTGGATAGAACCATCCTCTTGTCCGATGTAGAAAGACATTGATGAACGCGACATCGTTGTTCCCCTCAGTTGATGCAGCAAACTTACTGAGGGGTGAGCCTTATTAAGTTTTTGAACTGGACCATCGATATCGGTGGTACGGCTTGTCAGGCAAAATACATCGTCCATGGCCGGAGCATGGAAATCAAGGTAATTTGTAGTTTCGTTGAGACTTTTTTTAGTTGGCCTCGTCCATAAACACATTTGTTAGTAGTGGTTAAAGTGGCGAACACATCGCTACTCCGTCTATTTGCTTGTATAACTGGCCATTGCAGAGAAACTGGACATTTCGCGTGCGTCGCGTCGGTAGTTCTTTTGGAGTCTCCATTGTCGTCTGGAAGTTTTGTTCTCCTATAAGGTCACATAAGTAGTTTATTGTCTCTACTACGACTACTACAACAAACAGCGTCGATGGATGACCGGAAACATATGTTTGCCAATCTAGCTTTTCAATCCTAACACGGAAATTTTCGCAGAACATTCATCGATTGGTCGTCTTCACGCAAATTTCGCGCCTATATGGTCAATAAAACGGCTGACGCGACTAGCAGCAGAACTTGCCTGGTTAGAACGCTAGTTGCTACTGCTTGCTGGGTAGCGTGTATCCTTTATCGCCTCAGTAAAAACTCCTTCCAACCAGCTACTCCCCCCCCAAATGGAACTTTTTAAGTTATTGACAACTTTACTTTCACAATTCAGTTCCATTTGGTATATTAAGTAAATAGCACACTTATGCGAGGCGTTAAATTCTGATCGAAGGCATTGCATCAATGTCAAAATTGTTCCCATTTATCGATCCACGATGCAACGGCAGGTTATTCCAGACAACCAGAATTAACGGTCTAGGACCTAGACCTGGGCAATACCTAGACTCTAGGGAGGATTTATGCGCACGCAGGCCATGCGCATACAGGCGAAAATGAGGATTTGTGTCACATTCAAACTCATCGGGACTACCAGTGCTCAAAGATGAGATTTTCTTAGCCGCTGCAGAAAGTGAAAAAAGCTTGTCTTATTCCAAGCTAGGTCATTTACCTGTGCAATATTATTTCTTGAATACGAACCGGCAGGGGTGCGCCTTCGAGTTCACGCTGTGCCCATGATTATACACACCAATCGTATGTTCGGGAAATGAAGAGCAGGGCTCGGGGATGAAATTGCCAGGTTAACCATTAGTTGGTTACAAATGAAGGCGAATATGCAAGCTCAAGGTTCTTGTTGCAAGGGAAATAAAGGCGGAATCGCTGAAATAATAGTTGGCTAGAGAGGTGACAGTACTCAAGCCTTCCCTTGCTGGCGTGATTTCGAAGCCCCTCTGCCAAGGCCGCCGTATTTTCCGTAATGGGTCAATTAAATTATTAAAATCCGCCGCCCTGCCCCCTCCTAATAAATTTATTAGTATGAACTTTCGAACATGCACAGATCATAAACAGAAAATGCGTTAGAGAAACGATAAGTGAATGCGAATATTCGCGTTCCGAGTGTTTGCATGAGCGAGGAAGAAGACTGGTCGAACAGCGGAAGCGTTTATTAAAGTAGTTTAAGTAGTGCATCTCATATACCCCCTAGTCCCAGCATTTTTCCTACGGAAACGGTGGTTATAGGGGGTTTGGGGGTGGGGAAAGAGGATAGGCAGTGAGGGAAATGAGTTAATTACTTCTTCCGAACTTTCAAACCTTTGCACGAACTCGTCGTCAGTGCTAGCAGCAGCAGCAACAAAAAGGCGACCATCATAAGTGGTGCAAGCCAATAAATTACCACTGACGCGTGTCTAGAGGTGATTGCGCCGGCGCCAAATCAAACCATCAACCGATTGAGTTGCCATTCGTGGGCCGGACTTCACTCGATTCTCGACTCGTCTTGATTTTGGCGCGGGCGATTATCTTGAAGACTGAGAAGTTAAATCTCTTGGTCCATTTCGCGTGTGTGAGTGGTAACTTGCGATAATTCGTCGCCCCGTTGCGCATATATATATATATATATAT